TTAACTGCAGTATATCTCATTAATATCATGCCTTCACCAAATACATCCAGATTGTACCCATTCCATCTCATTTTTCATCAACCTCCATCATACTCTCATCTTCACATTTTTGGGTGTCGATGTTATCCTCTCCACCTAATACCAAACAAAAACTTTCACCAACATCTATTCCTTGTATCTTCCTACGCTATCCTCTTCAGTACAAAGGCTATCTTTGCTTCAATTCGAATTCGAGCAAGATCATCACAGCTCAACATGTTATATTTAAGGAACATATTTTTTCATTTCAATCTTCTCCTACCACTTCAATCTTCACTTCCACTTCACCTCCAAAGTATTCCCCTCCACTTTCTATTGTACCCAGTTTGGTGTTCCCACAAAAATCCCCTCACAGCCTTCCTCATACTCTAATCTCCCATCCTCTAATTTTTCATCCTCATCAAATCCTATCTCACCCTCTCTAGCAAACTTACCTCTCATTAATCCATCTCAATTTCCCATTGTCTCCATACATGTCTCATATCTAAAGCTCACTAGGTTAAAAACTGCCCCGTACCATTCTCAATCTACACCACTACATCACTAATCCCTCGAACCCTACTTCCTCCCAACGGAATTGTGACATGTCTGTAGAATTTCAAGCTCTTCAAACTCAAGGAACATGGCAGTTAGTTCCTCCTTCACCAATGCAACATATACTTGGTTGTAACTAGTTGATTAAAACAAAACATCATGCAAATGGATATGTTGCTAGGTATAAGGCCCGATTAGTGGCTTAAGGTAATACACATAATATGTTATAGATTTTCATGACACATTCAACCCTATTGCTAAAATGCCTAATATTTGAATTTTTCTTCTACTAGCAATGCATTTCCATTGGAATATTCATCAATTGGATGTTTCCAATGTGTTTCTACATTGGACGTTATCTGAAACTATCTATTTGAATCAATATCTAGGATATCAGGACGTTAACCCTCTTATGTTTGCTGCTTAAATAAGGCCTTGTATAGATTTAAGCAAGATAATAGTTTTCAAAGTTTACCGACCATCTCCTACATTGGGGTTTTCATTTAAGTGATGTTGATCCATCCCTCTTTATTTACATGCAATAGGACATATGCATTTACCTAATTATATATGTTAATAATATTCTTGTAGCTGGAAACCATTCAGGTAAAATTTCTGCACTCTTCAAAGACCTTCACAACAAATTTAAGCTAAAACAGTTTGGCCAACCTTCCCAATTTCTTGCCATTTCACTGAAAAAACTCCTTGCTGGTTGTATTCTTTATCAAACAAGTTATACTGAAGCAATTTTAGTCAAGGCAGGCATGGCTGAATGCAAACTTGTAGCAACACCAATTACTTTTAAATCCCCTACTCTACCAAATGCATCAGATCAATTTACTGATCCTAAACTTTATTGTATGTTAGTTGGATCATTACAATACCTAACTATTAAACAGCCTAATATCTCATTTGCTATAATCAAATTGTGACAGTTATGTATTCACCTCGACAAGCCTATTTCCATATACTTAAGCACACTCTAGGCTATATTCAAGGTATAATAGAATTCAATTTATCTATTCAGCCAACCAACATTCAGCTCTCTGCATTTTCTAACTCGAATTGGGCAGGGTATTCGAGTGATCGCAAGTCTACATCAAGTAATATATTTTTCTTAGCAACATGCTTGTTTCCTAGTTTGCTAAAAAGCAAGCAACAATTGCATGATCATCTACCGAAGCTGAATATAGGGCGCTCTCATCGGTTGCTATGGAGACCATTTGGCATCGTCATTTGTTGCAAGACTTTAATGTCCCTATTTAATTCTACACTTACACCTCGCTATTGTAATAACATTTCAACCATTTCACTTATCCATAATCCAATTTTTCATGTTAGAACCAAACATATTGAAATAAACCACCATTTTATTCGTGAATGTATCAATTCACAAATTATTGTAGTTCATCATATATCCACACTTGATCAACTAGCTGATATATTTACAAAGTCATTGCCTTCATCCAAATTCCATAATCTATGTTCCAAATTAATGAATCGAGATTGAACCTGTGCCGGCTCAAACGAGGATTATTCCCTATTGTCACTACATGGCCTGTTCTACCATGTATGCTAATTCTAAAGTAAATAGCTTTATTACTGTTTGATCTCAGCCCTTGATGTAATTTCATCTTCACAATTAAGATGATATATATGGTATATAAAACATTAACTAGTGCATTTTTTACGGATGAAAAGACGAGGGATAAATAAAGAAGATGAATATTGATTTTAAGCTTTTCTTGTTCTCTTAGTCTCTGTTATTCTCCATTTGTAGTTAGTATACTTTTATACATTTTGGCGAGAGAGAGAGAGAGAGAGAGAGAGAGAGAGAGAGAGAGAGAGAGAGAGATGAAGGTTGGAGAGTTTAACATCTTGGTATTTTATAAAGTTCAAGTAGAAGCATAGATAAAAAAATTTACATGAGGCGTTAGAGATTTTACAATGAAAATTAGGGGGGAAAAAGAATCAAATGACCAAGCCCACTAAAAATGTTTTCACTAATGTTTGAGACTAGTTGCAATGATTACTTTCCTCATGATTAGAGAATTTATTGATAAAATATAACATGAAAAATTATATAGAATGAGTTTTGAGGTTGAAGTTATAAGAGTCCTATAGCATTAGAGCTATCTTCAAGGGATTTTATGTTCGTTGGATTTGCCTCATCAAGATGCTCGATTTAACTATAAAAAGATGTAAGATTTAGAGATTATTTGATCACCAATTAATTTTCAAAGATTTCAAATACCCTTCAAATATTTCATTTGGACTCATTTGGAGTAGGAATTATATCACTTTAGGTATATGAGTTTTTCTCTTGTAGTTGTTCAATATGATTATGAATTTATTGAATTCAGAATTTAGACGATCCTAAATATAAGTTTAAAAATCTTTTATTTAAATATTATATTGGGATTCTTGCTTGCTTAATTAGATTTTCTAATTTAGTATAAGCTCTCTCTCTATTTTTTGTTGTCAAAATTTGTTTTTGTCTAAAATAGATATTTAATCTTTAAAAAAGTTATTGCATAAAATTGTAAGGTGAGATCCTTCTTTAGACGTCAACATCAACTTTTCTCCCAAGCTATAACTGAGTAAAATATCCTCAATTATAATTTAGAGTTGGTTCGGTGATTAGAGCAAAAATTATGAAAACATTTTGCACTAAGTTATTCAAAATTGATTGTAGTTGCTCACTTAAATTCCCTAAGTGTTAAAATTAAGTCTAGATGTTGAAAATAATTATGATGCCCGAAGTGCGGTGCGAGTGTGAGCATGCGGGCCTGCACACATGGGGAAGGACGGACTGTGTGCTGGTGCATCAAACGTGATTGGGGCGAGTAGGCTTGTGCAAGCAGGTGAGGGCGGACCGCGTGCGGGTGCGTTGAGCGCGATTAGGGTGAGTGGACCTGAAGCGGTATGCTGTGGTAGAAGCATGTTCACAATAGCAAAACAAGAATGAAGGCAATGGAACAGTAAAGGCAACAACCAAAGAGTATAATTCATTAACTGGTTCTTTCATCTTCTCCTGGAGAAGATAAACAAGGAACTATTACTATAACTAGATAAAGATAAAAGCAAGTTGCCTGCTCACATACTAAATAAGGCAACTAAGATTATGGTGCTAACTGAAAGCTGCAAAAATAACAATAAAGTGAAAAAGGTAGTGTTCCCATAATTGACTAGGTAGTGGTGCACGTAGCTCTGATGCACCACATCATTCTCCCCCTCCAACAGAAGAGTCTGACTCGGATGAGAGGTTTGTAATGGTTGTGTCAGGCGGATGATAGGCACTGAGATCGATCACCAATATTGAAGGTTGTAGACATGTTATAATGGCTTGGAAAATCCACAATGTATGCATTCTGATTAATCCGTTTAAGAACAACAAATGGTCCGATTTTCTTCTTACTTAACTTGGAATAAGTTCCCTGTGGGAATCGCTCTCGCCGCAGGCGTATCATCACCAGATCTCCCGGCTCAAAGCGACGGTCCTTGCGGTGCCGATCAGCCGCCGCCTTATACTTCTGATTAGCTTTAGTTAGTTGTTGGAGAACTTCTTCAAGCATAGCAGTGAACTATTCTGCGAATTCAGTGGCTGATTTGCTGTTGCATTTTGGCAGGACCGCGATATCCACTATGTGGTTTGGCTCTTTCGTTTAAACGATGCTGAAGGGGCTTTTACCAGTAGACCGATTGGTCATACTGTTATAGGCAAATTCAGCTTGACCCAACACTTCGTCCCAAAGCTTGGGGTGTTCCTGTACCACACAATGGAGAAAGTTTCCCAATGTCCTGTTGACGACTTCGGTCTGCCCATCCGTTTGAGGATGATAGGCGGAACTGAGCTTAATATCTGTGTGAAGTCGCCGCCATAATTCTTTCCAGAAATTACTAATGAACTTAACATCACGATCAGAAGTTAAGATCCGGGGTAATCCATGGAGCCGCACGATTTCAGCGAAGAAGACACGGGCTACATTCAATGCATCGAACGTCTTCTTACAAGCCAAGAAATGAGCCATCTTTGAGAAGCGATCGACTACCACCATGATTGAATCATGACCCCTCCGAGTTCGTGGTAAACCCATTATAAAATCAAGACTTAAATCTTCCCAAATGGTCTCCGGTGTCGGTAACGGTAAATACGGTCCTTGTAGATTTCCACCAGTTTTATAAGTTTGACAAACAGAACATCGTTCTACAAACCTCATTACATCCCGGTGTATATGTGGCCAAAAAAATCTGACCTGTAGTTGTAGATATGTGTTGTTTCGCCCCACGTGTGCAGCTAGACCACCACATTGAATCTCCTTAATTAACTGCGGTCGCCATGATGAATCAGGTATGCACAATTGATTCTGCCGAAATAGGAATCCATGTCTTATGGTGAATTCACGCACTTGGTCATTATTCAGACACTATTTCCAAATTTTAGAGAAGTCCTGACCCGTCGCATATAAATCCTTTAAGCAATCCAGACCCGTTATCTCGGTTTGCAGCTGTGTGAGAAGGACACTCCACCGGCTGATGGCGTCCGCAACCTTGTTCTGTGCACCCGCCTTGTGTTGCAAGACGAAATTGAATTGTTGCAAGAACAGTATCCATTGAGCGTGCATACGGTTGATATGTTTTTTACTGTTGATGAATTGCAACGCCTGGTGATCGCTACTGAGAATAAACTCCTGGTGAAGAAGGTAAGGCTCCCACTGCTTAAAAGCTCGCACCACCGCGTAGAGTTCTTGCTCGTAAACACTCCACTTTTGACTCGCCGGACATAGCTTTTCGCTGAAGAACTCCACAGCTCTGTTCTCATGACTTAATACCGCTCCAATGCCCGTGCTTGAAGCATCGGCATCCACATGAAATGGTTTGTCAAAATTTGGTAAGGCCAGTACCGGCGCAGTTGATAAGGCCAACTTGATTGCTGCAAAGCTCACTTGTTGATCGTCTCCCCAAAAATACTGTTTAAGATTTAAATAGTCGGTAATAGGTGCCATGACTGTGCTGAAATCCTTGATGTAACGGCGATAGAAGTTGGCGAGCCCGTGAAAGCTGCAGACATCCATGAACGAACGGGGAGTTTGCCATGACGTGATAGCCTCAACCTTGCGTTTATCGACTTGTATGCATGCAGAGGAAACTACGAAGCCCAGAAAATATACAGCAGGCGAAGCAAACTCACACTTCAAGTAGAGTTGATGTTGGCGGAGAACAGTCAGAATCTTGGACAGATGTTCCAAGTGAAGTGCATGGGAAGTACTATATATGAGAATATTGTCAAAATAAGCAACGCAGAATTTTTTGATGAATGGTTTAAGGACCTCTGTCATTAACCGCATAAAGGTAGAAGGCGTGTTACAAAGCCCAAAGGGCATGACCCGCCACTCGTATAATCCATGGCGAGTTTTGAATGCAGTTTTCCACTCATCGCCTGGACGAATACGGATTTGATGGTACCCACTTCGGAGATCCAACTTTGAGAAAATGGTGGCTCCGGACAGCTTCTCTAGCAGCTCTTCCACCTGTGGCACTGGGAAGCGATACTTGACAGTGATTTTGTTGATCCTGGAATCAAGTCAATCTGATGCTGTAAAGATCGTAAAGGTGGTAGTGTTGTTGGTGCCGGATCAGCCAGTACATCCCAAAATTGATCCAATAAATGCTCTACTATCTGTTGTCCCGTTCTGTACTCAGTCGCTGGAGCAGTTTCCCTGAGGACCAAAGCAAACAGCAGGGAATTTTCTTGATACAAATTTAATAATGCACTACCTGTAACAAACTGAAGGACCGATGGCACCGTCCTTGTCTTGTCTCCCGGTGACGAATTAGGTAGCAAACGCAGTCGTCGGCCTTTCCACTCTAAGGAGTAAGTGTTAGCACGACCATCATACATAGCTCCTACATCAAATTGCCATGGACGGCCCAAGATTAAATGGCATACATCCATATCAACTACGTCGCATAACACCTCACATGAGTAGTGCTTCCCAATGGAAAATTGAACTCGGCACATATCCGTAACCGAGATTTCCATGCCTTTCTTGACCCAGCTGATTTTGTAGGGTTGAGGATTCTTCGTCGTCTTCAATTGAAGTGCTTGCACCACGACGCGAGAGACCACATTCCCCGTGCAACCACTATCCACCAATAAGTCACATACCTTTCCTCCTATGGTGCATTTAGTTTTGAAAATTGAGTGCCTCTGAGAATTAATCTGCTTCTTTGGAGCCAAGAGCAATTTTTCCAGCATGCACATTAGAGGTTCGCCTTCGTCTGCAATCACGTCTTCGACATCTTCGTGATGCTCCTCGTCTGGAGGCTCCTGCTCAAACTCCCCTTTCCCGTCAAGTAGTTGTATCTGTTGTCTGTTAGGGCATTCGTTGGACTTATGCCCGGGTTGAAAGCATCTGAAACATTTGAGACCTTGTGGCCTTGGATAAGGATTGTCCCTAATTGGACCCCTGGGCTTCACTGGCATCTTGGTGTCAACATTGGTATTCAATGAACTCACTGAAGCACTGTGATCTACCAGAGGTGGTGTTTTGTGGATAATTGTTCCTGGCGATTTAGCATTTTCAAACCTGGTCTCTACCGTGCTTCTCCGGTTTGAACTACCTTTTCCATGCCGAGCCAGCTGCATTTCTGTTTTGAGAGCAAAATTCACAGCTTGAGAGAGGGACCAGACTGAGTTTAGTTCTAATTTGTCTTGGATGATGTCTTTCAAGCCCCCAATGTATCGGGCGACCAGCTGGTTAGTAGTTTCATTCAGGTCATTCCTCGCCGATAAACTATAAAACTCTTCTGTGTATTCGCTGACTGACCAATGATTTTGCGAGCAATGCTGGTACTTTAAGTATAGCATCTGCTCGTAATCTGTCGGAAGGAAATGTGCGCGCAGGAGTTGTTTCATCCGCACCCAACTACGAACAGAACCCCGTCCTTCCCGCCGTCTTGACTGCAACAATTGAGACCACCACGCGCTTGCGCCACCCTTGAGTCTATAGGCGACATACTTGACTTGCTTCTCCGGCTCAATCTCCATATAATAAAAAAAAGTCTCTACAGCTCGTTCTCAATCAAGATAATCTTCGATGTGCAGTTTGCCATTGAAGAAGGGGATGTCCAACTTGACACGAAATTCTCCCTAGTGCCGGTCTCGACCTTGGTAACGCCGTGGCCGCCGCTCGTCGATTTACACTTCTGAATCTGATAATCCGGTCGGATTGTTGGTGTCAAATTCCTCCTCCGAATCCGATAGCTCCGGCATCAATGCTGCTCGCCTTCGAACTCTGTTCAGGAATCCTCTATTTCCATCAATGGGAGTGATCAAGGTCGGAGCAGGTCTGCCCACCCTATGCGGAACGTCCCCCTGTCTGGCGACTGGTGGCTCTCGTCGTAAGGCGGTCTACAGACGCAACTATTTCATCCAAGCGTTTCTCCACGCCAGCGTGCGCAGCCCAAAGTGCCTCCAAACTTCGGTCCTCTCCGCTCGTCGCACGCTTGCTGGACTCTGCCATCTTACCGAGCCACTGGCTCTGATACCAAATGAAGCGGTATGCTGTGGTAGAAGCAGGTTCACAATAGCAAAACAAGAATGAAGGCAATGGAACAGTAAAGGCAACAGCCAAAGAGTATAATTCATTAACTGGTTCTTTCATCTTCTCCTGGAGAAGATAAACAGGGAACTATTACTATAACTAGATAAAGATAAAAACAAGTTGCCTACTCACATACTAAATAAGGCAACTAAGATTGTGGTGCTAACGGAAAGCTGCAAAAATAACAATAAAGTGAAAAAGGTAGTGTTCCCATAATTGACTAGGTAGTGGTGCACGTAGCTCTGATGCACCGCATCAGGACCTACCCGAGCGGGTGAGAGCAGGTTCGTTGAGTGCGACTGGGGCGAGCGGGCGAGTGCAATGTGAGCGGGTGAGGGCAGATCATACGGGTGTGTGCCGCATGAATTGGTCATCTCGTTGTACACATAATAAGCCCAAAAGAGAAATTTTGTACGCATAATAAAACTAATCCTCGCTTCATCTCCGTCCAACGCACAAATTTTTAAGTCAAATCCTCGCTTAACATGCGGTCTTTGTTAAATATAATATGATAGTTAAACCAGTCGAGCAAACAATTCAACGCCATAAGAATCAAACGTTCAGCCCACATTTTTCTCAAAAAACAAAGTCAGGAATTTTTTATTTGCATATATGTATTTTTTATTTCATTAATTTTGAATTTATGTAAATCAAATTTATGTAATTTCACATCATTTATGCTTAATAGAATTATATCTTTTGTCAAATTTGTAAGTTCATCATCATCAAATTACAAAAAAAAAATCATTTTATATTGATCATTTAAAAAAAGTAATAAATGACATTTCAATTATATATATATTACATATTTTTTATATTTACAAAGATATATATTTTGATTTTTTTATAAATGATGAGTAATAAATAATAATATATTCTCTCCTAACTATTGGGCTATGAATCATTTCACAGAACTAAAATATTTACGATAAAATCTATAACAAAGTCGTAATTTATTAAAACATAAATTTGTAATTTTTTAAATTTATAAATATATTTGACTTGAATTCTTGAGCTTGAAAAAAATAACTTTCTCCTCGAATTATTAGTCAATAGATACTTTCGCACATTTATGCATAATTAATTAAGTAATTACAATAAAAAAAGCATCAATTTTGTAAGACATTAAAATAAAAATTAAGTCAATGCATCCTAACAAATTATTTTTTGTCAATGTGAATCAAGGAGACTCATAAGCCGGCTCGATAAATGGCTCTCGAGCCTAGCTCGATGAGCTGACGAGTCAAGCTACCATGACTCGATTCGTTAACTCACGAGTGACTCTTTTAAAATTTATTAATATAAAGTAGAGTTAAAATGTATTTCCATTTTGAATTTTAAGTACAAAGTCAAAAAAATATTTTAAAAAATATATCTCAATATTTTTCATATAAAGTTATTCTTTATTATTATTATTTTGATTTCTCATACATAATTGCTAAAATCATAATCATTTTTTTCTTTTTCATAATGAATTTGAGCATGCTTAAATTTGATTAATTTATCAAGCTTAAGCCAAAAATGACTCGAGCTTAACTCGGCTCATTTATAACCCTAAACATGACCTAAGAAAATACATATCTCACCTTCAAAAACCAACCTTCTCAAACACTGCCACCTACTCATCCTTCCATCATTATTTTTTTAATAAAAATTATATCAGAATATTGGAATATAAATTGTACAATATAAGCTTAAAATTTATTATATTTACATTTAAATTAATGCAATACAATCTTTCATATATAACATCAAACTCCAAGCAAATATAATAAAAAAGGGATTTACACACATGCTATGGTTTTGCATATATATAATCTTTATTTTATTATTTTTTTTATATATCACACTAAAATATTTAAATATATGGTTGTAAATATTTAACTTGACCAAAAATTTGACCCAAATTCGACCCGAAAATTTTTGGGTTCGGGTCAACCCATTTGCCACGAGGTTCTACCGTTTATAAAATCTAGTTAGGTTCGGGTAGACTTGGAAACTCGAAATCAACCTGAGTTGACCCTAAAAATTAGCCTACTATGCTCGCCTCGCTCGCACAACATTATCCTATGATTCATGCCCTTGCCTTGCGTCCGGACTTCACAGTTTATACCTAGACAACGAGACCTGCACCGTGTTCGACTCTCCCCCGCTCCCCTCGCATTAAGACTTCGTAATCCGTAGACTCCGCACCTAGTGGCACATCCCAGCACCGTGCTCAATCGCTCACCCCTCTCCTCGTGTTTGGAGTTCAACCCGCACTGCCCTTTCCTGCTCCTCTCATGCCCAGTTTGAACCTTGAAAGCGCTCATCAGCTTGCCTCACATCCGGAGTCGATCGTAGTTTGCACCCATATGGCACCGCGTGATCCCACACCGTATCAAGCCAATTGAGTATGGGTTCAGGTCTGGTTCAGCTATGAATTTCGAAAATGTTTAAAAATAGAGTCGGGTCAGGTAAACCCATTTATAGCCCGGGTCAACTATGAGTTCGACCTGAACTCGACCCGAAAATCCATTTTAACACCCCTAATTAAATCTCCTTAAAATAGTATTAATATTAAGTTGATTTAAATAAATTATTTTTATATGCATATTTTTATATGATTCGGACACAAAAATATATGATGCATAAATAAAAATAAAAATTCATGTATCATATATCTATATATGCAATGCCCCCCTTCACAACTTTCGTATTGGTTCATACGGATACGTTTTCACGGCCTATTTATTTTTTCATTTTCGTTTTTGATCCTATAAATAAGCAGCCCACAGGCCACCCTACTCGTCTCCTGTACCCCACCCTTTGTACGCACTCGACTGAGCACAAACAGCGACCAACCAACCAACCATGCCGTCTAGCATTGCAATTTCGGCCAACCCAGTTCTGCTGATCTCCTCCACCGCCGCTCCTCGCCAACCCCGCCGCCCGATCCCCTCATCTCTTCCCGCCATCTGGCGCGACATCCAAGGCGCCGACAACTGGCGAAACCTCCTCCACCCCATCCTCCGACACGAACTCCTCCGCTACGCTCAGTTCGTCATCTCCTCCTACAAATCCTTCGACCAAGACCCCTCCTCCCCCCGCTACCTCAACTCCAAATATCCCATGCCCACCATCCTCTCCCAATCCGGTCTCCCCAATGCCCCCTACCAAGTCACCAAATACCTCTACGCCACCCCCGCCGCCTCCACTCGCTCCCACTGGATCGGCTACATCGCCGTCTCCGACGATCACTCCCTCTCTACCCTCGGCCGCCGCGACATCCTCGTCTCCTTTCGCGGAACTGTCACCAACACCGAATGGCTAACCAATTTCATGAGCTCGCTCGCCACCGCTCGTCTCGACCCGTTCAATCCCCGCCCCGACGTCAAGGTCGAGTCGGGCTTTCTTACTCTCTACACATCCGCGTCTTTTCGCGCGTCATTACTAACCGAAATTTCTCGGATTGTGAATTTGTACAAGAACGATGATGAGCTTAGCATCACGTTGGCCGGGCATAGTATGGGAAGCTCGCTCGCGGTTTTGTTCGGGTATGACTTGGCTGAGCTTGGGTTGAATCGGGTCGGGTCGGGTGCGGGGATTAACCGAGTTATACCGGTAACGGTTTTCTCGTACGGTGGGCCGAGGGTTGGGAACTTGGGTTTTAAGGCACGGTGTGACGAGCTTGGGGTGAAGGTGCTGAGAGTGGTGAATGTGAAGGATCCGGTGACCAAAATGCCGGGGTTGTTTTTGAATGAGAACTTGAGGTTGCCGTGGAGCGGCGGTGGCGGCGGCGATGGCGGCTCGTGTTATGCACATGTGGGAGTTGAATTGGCTTTGGATTTCTTTGAGATGGAGAATTATCCGGCTTGTGTGCATGATTTAGAGGCTTATGTTGGACGGCTTGAAGGGAGTGATCATGAGATGGAGAAGGGTGGAGGAGGGGAAAATCATGGTGATTTCTTAAGGAAGGAGGAGAGGGGTTTTTTTAATCTTATTTTCCAGAAATTTGTTGAATGGGCGCCTTGGCTACAAGATAGAGTCAGGAATGTTAGTGCATGATTTAGTTGTGTTATCAACGATGGGATTTGTTCCTTAAATGAGAGATTTTTATGTACTGGTTAATGTATAATTAAAATTCAAGAAATACACATCAACAAGAAGAAAAGTCAATGATGGGAAATTAACATTCGAATAAATTTAATAAATTAAAATTTACATCAACAAGAAGAAAAGTCAATGATGGGAAATAAACATTAGAATAAATTTAATAAATTAAAATTTTGTACTGAGAAACATTCAATTGTACCTTTAAGGTCACTAAATATTATGATACTCTTAGAAAATTATTTTCTTATTATAGTGCATACTATTACTAGCAATATATATATATAAAACAATAAATTAACAAAATGGTACAATATATTACATAATGATAGAATAAATCTAACAACATAGTGCTTTAGACTAACTTCATTTAAGTTTATGTCATATGCATAATATTGTATGTGCAATGGTTTGTCTGATCAAGTAGGTCATCGTCACTTTTTTTTTTCACAAGACCAACAAGATTAGTCTATTACATGAAATTAAATAAGCTGAAGAATATGTTATCTCATTAACAAAAACACACACACATCTCTGTCACTAGCAAACTTATTATAGAGAACTTAGATAAATATATGATATATATTTGCAACAATTTTAAATAAATAGAGATGATAACATTGGATTATTTGATTTATTAAAGTAATCATATGAGATTTAATCATGATGCATTAATTATTTTCATATAACAAGATTGAATTATTGATGAGGATATTAAGATTGTTCTGATCAAAGATCATCTTATGCCTAGTTCAACCTATGTATGAATTTATACCCTCAAAAGGTTGAAGTGCTGACTAACTCCATCATCCAAATTGGTGCATGCTCAACGTAGACATATTTGATAAGCCTAAATGACTACAAGAATTTTACATGATGCATGGTATGAAAGATGAATATGAGTAGATATGTTCTAAAATTTCAAAGACCTAAAAATCCATAAATGACATAGATAATTGTAAGAGAGATGTTTTGAATGTTTATATAAAGAAGATGCACACACATATCAATAGTTTAGATGTATATAGATTTATATATCATAGATAAGTAAGGAAATAAATGATACAATGATGTTGATATCCACATAAATTTTAATTGATTGTATATCAAACAAACTTTGATGCTTAAATATGAACTATACTCTTAGGATGAGTAATGAGGAATGTCTAAGTTCATATAGTCTACTCAAATAATAAAATTCTCTTAGTGGATATTATTTACTTGAAGATAGACATGCAAAGGCTAAGGTAAATTTGGCCTATTTGAGTTAGAGGAAATGCCTAAAACAATTTGGCTTAATTAAGGCACAAGGAGAGTTATCTAAGAAGATTTGACTTGTTTACATAAGATATATGAGATGTTCAAAGATATGTTTCGTTTAATTAAGGCAAAGCATTTAGACAATCTAGCTTTCAAATACAGATGCAGAGTAATTAGATAAATAAGATCTACCTATAGTATATATGTGTATGGGTGATTGGATGTGAGTTACCTAGATGGATATGGCCTAAATTGACAAAGACAAAAATCTTGACACATTATTGGCTTGCTTAGAACACAATAAAATATGAGCATATTTAGTTTGACCAAATAAAAATATGAAATATTTAGAAAATTATAATATTTATAAGCAATAATAAATGTTCAAACATATTTTACATGTTTAAAATATAAGAAAAATTCATAAGCATATTTGGCCTACATAGATAAGATATGGAATACATAAATAAATAATTACAAGAATAATCTAAGCAAAGTTGGTTTACTTAGATAAAGGAAAAATGCTCAAGTGAATGTGAATCATCTAAATATAACATCTACAAAGATAAATATGTTCTAAGGCTTCATTTGGGACAGTTTTTTTGCTACTTTCTGAAATGGCTTTCTAGTATAAAAAATTATAATTCAAGAAATTTTTGTATTAGAAAGATGCTTTATAAAGAAGCAAAAAAGTTGTACCAAACGAAGCCTAAGTTGACACATGACAAATCCAAATAACTAATCTTGATCTAATCATTTAGAGAAAATGCTTGCATGTTTGAATGCTAAGATTTCACATCCATGAATGATATAAGGATGGTAAAAATGACTAGTTGATTTGGTTTGGATTCATTAAAAGTGTAGATAAAATATAAATTAATTAGTGTAATATTTTATGTGGGTATGACATATATAAATTAGTGAGATAGAATAACTTAGAAGTTGTGAAGCCAATTTAAGTTATTTGATGCAATTAATTTCAATTAGATGTGCTAATTAACATTAATTAATGATCAAATTAACACAACACAATATTGCATTTGTGTCCCAATACTTGATGTAAATAAAATCTAACCAAAACTCAAGGTCTAACTGATGTGTGTTCAACCCCTAATTATAAAGGATATGACATGTATTAGCTAATTAATGTATCATTTACAAGAAATATATGTTTATTTAATAGTCTTAAATCAGCCCAAAAGCAACTCGTGTATTGGCCACTAGCTTATTTATCCATATTTTGGATAGTATCTAATACAATACAAATAAAAGCATGCGTGATAAGGTAAATCATCAACCTACGAGGGGGAGATTCCTTACATGTTGTTCCTACCAAACTACTTACATGTGAATGCAAGCATCACCTACAAACTTTTCTTGGTGAGTATAACACATGAATATAAAAATTGCATAAGGTTGTGCTCATATGTGAATGTATCCTTCATTTGAGGGACGCATTTTTTGTTGTTTGTCATATGAATAGTGGTTGACAATATATTATTATGTGTGCCTTATTTATTTGTAGTATTTCACATAGTCGTTTTGATATGCTGTGATAGTTAGCTTTGTCATTTTACTTATTGCACGAATTTTTGGAAAGTTTATGTACATCATTTTGAATTGTTTGGGAATGCCTGGTGCTTATATACATCATAAAACATATTTCTATTAAACAAAATTTGTTCAATAAAATTAAAAAAAAAAGTTTCATGATAGCTACTTTACTATAATACAAATTATACAATGATATGTGCACCCAATCACATATTATAAAGTAAAAAGATACAAAACTAATTAAATTATGCATCAATCAAGTCTATAACTTACTGGTCATGTGTGAAGGTGTTGATGTCTAAGGTTTGTAGGCACACACCTATATAATAAAAAAGTTTTGAAAGATATGTTCCAGAGGCACACACGTAAACCAAAATGATGGTTAGGCATTCATGGGATCATGGATGTTTTTTATAGCGGAGGAGATGGTGAGAGAATTTTTTTTTTTTTAGTTAAATAGAGAGATTATGCCACATCCTAAGATCAAATTGGAAAGAATTTTTCTTATAAACATATTTTTCTTCAATATTTACCAACATAGAGGATTTCTATATCATCAAATAAATAGTAAAAAAATAATATTAATATCCTTTCATTTACTACACCAACCTATAAAACAAAAGAGTTATATACATCAATCTTGATCTAGTCTCCCTTTCAACATATATATATATATATATATATATATATATATATATGAAACTAATGTCAATAGCATTTACATGTTAGAAATAACAACATTAGATTTATTTATATATGATGTCAAAAATGAAATAACATGAAAAAATAATATTTTGAAGAATTTCATATTTTTTCTACTTCGCTTCTTTATGCTTCAACTTATTCATATTTCTTATTCACCCCTTATACCTTCACTTCCACTTACATATCCACTTGTTTATATTTCTCATTTCCCTTTTATACCTCCACTTCCACTTATATCTTCACTTATTCATATCACATATGTTCAATTGTATGAAATGTATAGATGGAAAAGTCCTTATATTTTCATTTGAATGCACATAAAATATCATCCACTAGCCACTTTCGTCTTTCTCCTTCTCGCCCTTCTCACACATTTTCAAATATATAAGCATAGAAATATTAGTACTAATAGTATGCATAAACAATATTTGACAAATTACATAAATATATAAAAAGCTCATAAAATATCAAATGTAAATTACTTGCATTTATCACTTTTTCACCTTTTCACATATTTTCAAACACAAGAACGTAGAAATAGTAATGCTTTTAACATGCATGAAAAATATCTTATATATCATATAAAAACACAAAATTTCATAAGCACAACAAAACAATAGAGTTTATGGGGATAAACTTATGCATATATTTCAACAATTATGAATTATAAAACTATTCATATACAATATCTACAATAACGTTTTGAAGTTTTTACCCTTCTATAATAATTTCTATCTATGTAAATATACTTGTTAAAATTCCTAAAATTAATATCAAACAACCAAAATATCCAATAACAAACAATAACAAATTTTTATCTCACTGTGGGGTCAGCTACATGAATATTTTCTTCATTGTATATTAATTAGAGTCAAATTTCCATTTAAATCTAATAAAAAGGTCATTTTTTTCTTTTTAAGTATATTTCTATCTTTCTTAACATCAGCCAAATCTAATACATATACTATTCTAAGCATGACATCAGAATGCTGACATTTTATGTGACCAAACCATCTAAGGTGACTCTATGTAATCTTATCTGCCATTGGAGCTGCTCCAACCTTTTCACATAAATACTTATTTCAGATTTAGTCTCTAAGTGTAAAGCCACCAATTTATATGAACATCCTCATCTCTATAATGCTTAATTTAATTTTTTCCTTCTCTTTAATGGCCAACATTTTGTGCCAAAAAGCATTATAAGTCTCACCACCATCTTATGAAATTTTCTTGTAAGTTTGAGGGGTACCTTTCTATCACACAACAAGCATGATGCATTCATCCACTTCAACCATCCAATTTAAATACTACTAATGATATTCTCATCTATTTCACCATTGCTCTGAATAATAAACCCGAGATATCTAAAACATGCACTTTTTTAATGACTTAGTCACCCAATGTCATAATTCTACCATTAGATTTATTACTACTAA